GGACTGGAGTTGAGAAACACTGCCTTAGCTTAACCTGGAGAAACAATTTATAGATCATCTGCCCTTTGTTTTTTGGAGTAAGTATTCATGCAATACATGGGATTGGTTTATGTTTTATTATCAATAACAGTGGTCTCAGCTGGCTCTTCTGATATTTCTGTGCTCGTGATGAGATCTGAGTTGGAGGCAAGCTCCTTGACAGAAAAAAGAGGAGACGTCTGTTTTTTTTTTTAATATGGCTGATGAAACTCCATGTGTACAGGTAATATGTGTGTGGGAGAAGTATTTAAACTTTACATTCTGTGGTAGTAGACCATATAATAAGGTTGGTAATTGTCTCAATATGCTTCCCATTTGTTTCACAGTAGCAAACATCTACCCTGCGTAAGAAAAAGACAAACACATAACTAAAGGACCAACATGAAAAAATAGGAAAGGATTTTTATGTCCAGAATCCAGTCCAGGTTTTGACTGGGGACAGCTCTTTTGGAATATTTTGTACGAATTTCAGTCAAGAGGGGTATTGGTCTCTTGTTCTTGATTTCAACTGAATGCATGTTCTATTGTGTATATAAAATAAAATACATTGTTTTAACATATAACACACATTTTGTTGCCCTCAAAGTCCCACTGGAAGAAAGTAAAGTAGGAATTGCAGTATTGGCAACCCCTTATAGTGTCAAATATTCTCCTTACATTCTTCTTCTTGGAGCAGAGTTGGCCTCTGAACTGTAGTCATGATTTAGAAGGGTCAATCATGAGGTTTTATTATGTGCCACTCCCCTCCCTATTATAGTGAGGTTTCCAATTATCCTTTTGTCAATATTTTATAGGCGATATGGAGTACAGTAGTTATGAACAGATCGCAGTGTATGCAGGGACAGCTAGTTGCTGCTGATAATTCCTGAAATCTGCTATATTGGCACTGACCTGGTGTTGGACAGTTCTGGAGCATATAGGGATAAAACAATCGATTCTGTGCAGGGGGAGATGGTTGCTTCTAGTAAAAGCTGGAAACTACTATATTTACTTTGAGTCACATACACATTCACTGTGTGTTGGACAAGTCTTGAAATATATAGGGAGAGAAAACAAAGTCTGTTTAGAGGCAAATAGCTTCTGCCATAATATACAGTGCCACTGAAAATTCCTATATTTACAGTCAGTGAGCGCTGGGGCACTTGGAGTAGATAGACAATGTTTGCAAGGATAGATAGCTTTTTGTGTGTGTCAGTGGCAAATTCAGTTGCTGTTTAGCTGTGGTTCCCCTCCTTTGCTTTTTTTTTTGTTTAGGTTTGTTGGGATGCAGTTTAGTGTTTAAAGGGTAACTCCACTTTCACAAAAAAAAAACATTTAGAAAATAAAATAAATAATAATATAGTGTATACAATTGCGAGTCTAGTAAACCTGAATGTTTTTAAAAATGACCTTTCCTTTTAAATCTGCAGCGATACAATTTTCAGTAAATGCAATGCAATATTTCATCTAAAGAGATGCAGACCCTGCAATTTTCCTCAGAGCTCAGCAGGTGCAGCAGCCGATTGATAATTATAAAACCACTCCCATACAGATTCACTTTCCACATGGACACAGAGAAACAAACATCTATATCTTCAGAATAACAAAAGGTAGGTATCTGCAACAAAGTTTGTTAAAATCCCCACAATATGAGGGGCGTTCTAGTCAAACTGGGACTTTTGATTTTATAAAAAGGGATGATAGCATGGTGGTACTACCCAAAGTATTGAGTGGCAATTGTGTCCTTTTACTGATAGGCGGGGCTCATGTCGCAGGCCAGTCCAGAGACTGTTAATCAAGATGGCAGACAACAGTGTTAGTGCATGCATGGAACAGCGAGAAAATCTTTCTTTGAGAACAATGAACACAATCATTCATGAACAATTGCATTTTCGAAAATTTAGTGCATGTTGGGTACCAAGACAGCTTTCTGTTTTTGACCGGCACAGAAGATTTGAAGTCTGCATTGTGTTGGAGTGTTTTGACGGGGAAGGTCAGAATTTTCTGGATTGCATCTTTACATGTGACAAAACTTGGGCACATCATTCACTCCAGGATCAAAATGAGCATCAAAGCACTGGAACCATGCTGACTCAAAAAATTTTCAAACAATTGCTTCTTCAGGTAAAGCAATGGCAAGTGTTTTCTGGGACAAACGTGGATTTTCTATCCCGTGGTGCCACTATCAACAGTGAATATTACTGTCGTTCTGTTCTGAGTGATGTGCATACACATCTGCGGAAAAAAATGGCCTGGTTTGATCACTAAAAAGGCGTCATGTTTCTCCAGGACAAAGCACAAGCTCATACTGCTCACCGCACTATGTGCATATTACAGCAACTCGGCTGGGAGGCATTGCCACAGCCCGGACTGAGCTCCAAGTGATTTCTACCTGTTTGGACCCTAAAAGAGTTTCTTGGAGGTCAGCATTTCAGCACTGATGACAAGGTGAAGCAGACTGTCCTAGGATGGTACAGGCGTACTGACAATCTGTCTATGCCAAAGCTTTCCAGGCATTAGTTAAATGCTGGGATAAGTGTACAAATGTAGCAGGGGAGTATGCTGAAAAATAAATGCAGTTTCCACTCCTTAAAATTTGTGCTTTTTTATATAAACTTGAAAGTTCCGGTTTAAACTTTAATGCCCCTCGTACATAGATCACCCAGTGGGTAATCTTTTTTTCTCAACAAAAGTGGAGTTACTTTTTTTTTTTTTTTGAGGATGAGTTTCAGCACACAGGTTTATCACATATCAGACGGTTAGCAGGCAGCTTGTGTTGCTGCTGCATTTTTTCCTGACAAAAGAAAAATGAAAACTAATGCAACCACCACATCTACTGATTAGTAAGCTGAGATATATTTTATATTTTTTTGTTTTGAGTTTAATACTGCTTTACAATTCACATAAATGCTATATTTCACATTTGTGTAAAGATGCATAGTAAAGGCTTTAAAAAAGCATTATGAATGTTAGTCTTCAGGGTAATGGAAATGAATTTCACTAGAAACAGCAATGGGTGTGATGTGGTACTGGAAGATATTTTGCACATTAGTAGAGGAGATTATAAAGGCTTGAAAATGTTCTTTTTATAGATTCAAACAAATCTCCTTCTCCAGTACATAGTGCTAAAAATGTACAACAAAAGACATTATAGATTTCCTTTAAGAGTCTGAGTATTGCATTAGCACAGTGACTGTGAATGTGCAGAAATAGTTCAAACACTCTACAGCAAAAATTTTAGTGATGCAAAGTTGAGACTACTGAGACGAATCACTTTGAATCTTATTCTTCAGGGTAACAGATTTATATTACACTGGGGACACTGGTGGGACCCATAACTGACGAGTACTGGAAGATATTTTGCAGCTTAATAGTGGTAATCCTTTCCGACACATAGTGCTAAAATTGTATAAAAATATACAATATAGATTTTCTTTAAGATGCCAAGAATTGCTTAAAACACAGTAACTGTGAATGTTTGGAAATAACTGAAACACATTACAGTGGAATTCTAGTGAGGCCATTTAGCTGAACAAAAATCTTCTCACATCACTAGTACAGCACGGCACATATTTTATTTCTAATGCTCCTGGCTATGAGTTCATGTAGTTGGGTCCCTTGAAACCAGGAAGAATAGATACGTGGTTCATTTGGCTTATCTCCTGAGAAACACGTATTGCAAAAAGAGCAGTAACCCATAGAAACCATCCAAAACTATTCTCAGAGTGATACTATGCGCTGGTTTCAAATAAAAAAATAGTATTCTTAAAAAAGTTATGTTGTTCTCAGGCAACGCTAAATCTCCAATTTTATTTTTTGCAATCTGATTTCCTGTTAGAGGGTAGATACTTTTATTCTCCATTGTCCACTACATGTAGGAATATAGCCACCCTTTCTTACTTGCTATGGAAACTTACGGAGGACATTGCAAGGAAGCAGAATTACATAGTAAGAAACAATTTCATGAAAAATTGATTACAGGGCCATTAGGTAGTGGATGTGTATGGATTATTTTTTGAAGAAAAAGGATATCACTTAGTGCCACTTTAAAGTAAAACTGTCATAAATCTAAGCAGTTCAAAGTCTGCATATGATAATAAAAGTAGAGTCATAGGTTATTTCCAGCATAAAAGATCTAAAAAAACAGACAGCTGAAGTTATAGGCGAATGTTGACCTTCTCTGTAGAAGTTGACTGCCCCTATTCCTTCTTACCCTTACCTTGAAGGCATTCCTATTGGTCAGCAAGGCCACTTATAACATTTAAGAACCAGTAGCTATTCTCAGGGGTTGGGGAAGATCAGATTCTACTGAATGAGTGGAAATTTGTACATTGTTTTATCAACCTTGGAACTGCTAATTGTTATGCTGTTTTTACTGGGTAATCTCTGAATTTTTTAATCATTTGTTTAGATCAAGGTTCTCAACCAGGGTTTCATGGAACTCTAAGGTCCACCAGAGATTGGTAGGGGTTCCTTGAGCAATGAGCAATTTCTGCCTCTAAGATAAGCTCCCACTGACACTAATGATCTTTTTAGCTACCTGTAAATGGAGCATTCTTCCCACTGACCATTGCACTAGTGTATCGTGAGTTGTAGATAGAATAATTATTAGTAGCGGTTTCCTGAGAACAGAAAGTTAATTCAAGGGTTCCTCCATTTTGAAGAGTTCAGAAAGGCTGGTTTAGATTGACATACCCAGGATCCCCCAGTTTACTTTAATCGATGTGATGTTTCTAGCTGAATAGGAAATCTCATTTGATTCTATGGTCATCATCTTCTTTTCCATTTGTGGCAGCACTTTGTGTTAACTAACAAAAGAATGTATATATATGCAGTGGTGAACACATACACTATATTGCCAAAAGTATTGGGACACCTCTCCAAATCATTGGATTCAGGTGTTCCAATCACATCCATGGCCACAGGTGTATAAAATTAAGCGCCTAGGCATGGAGACTGCTTCTACAAACATTTGTGAAAGAATGGGTCACTCTCAGAAGCTCAGTGAATCCAAGCGTGGTACCGTGATAGGTTGCCACCTGTGCAATAAGCCCATCTGTGAAATTTCCTTGCTACTAAATATTCCATGGCCCACTGTTAGTGGTATTATAACAAAGTGGAAGAAACTGGGAACAACAGCAACAAGAAGTGGTAGGCCACAGAAAATGACAGAGCAGGGTCAGTACAGTGCGCAGAAGTCACCAACTGCAAAGTCAACAACTAAAGTCCTCCAAACTTCATGTGGCCTTCAAATTAGCACAACAACAGTGTGAGAGAGCTTCATGGAATGGGTTTCCATGGCCGAGCAGCTGCATTCAAGCATTACATCACCAAGTGCAATGCAAAGCATTGGATGCAGTGGTGTAAGTGCCCAGTCACACTGGTGCGATTTGTGAATTGAAATGCCACCTGAATTGCATCTAATGAATGTGAATGTCAGTGTCTTAACATGTGCAATTTGCTGCAGCGTGATTTGTAAAGTAGTTCTTGCATTACTTTTTCTGCAGTTTTGTTGCAATTTCACCCAATATAATGGAAATTGCACTACAATTTGCATGAAATCATTGAAAATCTTCACAAGTAGCAATAAAGTCTACAGAAATTGCGCTGAAATTGCACACAAATCGCTCGATTTTAAATCGCAGCAGTTTGTGACTAGTGACTAAAGCATGCCGACACTGGACTCTAGACATGTTTTCAGGAGTGATGAATCACGCTTCTCTGTCTTGCAATCCGATAGACATGTCTGGGTTTGGCAGTTGCAAGAAGAACGGTACTTGCTTGACTGCATTGTGCCAAGTGTAAAGTTTGGTGGAGGGGGGATTATGGTGTGGGGTTGTATTTCAGGGGTTGGGCTTAGCCCCTTAGTTCCAGTGAAGGGAACTTTGTGGGAACAGTTTGGGGATGGTCCCTTCCTGTTACAACATGACTGAGTAACAATGCACAAAGCAGGTCCATAAACAGATGGATGAAGGAGTTTGGAGTGGAGGAACTTGTCTGGCCTGCACAGAGTCTTGAACTCAATCCGACAGAACATCTTTGGGATGAATTAGAGTGGAGACTGAGAGCCAGGCCCTCTGGTCCGACATGAGTACCTGACCTCACAAATGTGCTTCTGGAAGAATGCTCAAACATTCCCATAGACACACTCCTAAACCTTGTTTACAGCCTTCCCAAAAGAGTTGAAGCTGTTATAGCTGCAAAGGGTGGGCCAACTCAATACTGAACCCTACGGACTAAGACTGGGATGCCATTAAAGTTCATGTGCGTGTAAAGGCAGGCATCCCAATACATTTGACAATATAGTGTGTGTATATACAGTCATGGCCGAAATTGTTGGCACCCTTGATATTTCTCCAGGAAATCATGTATTTCTCACGAAAAAAGGTATTGCATTAACACATGTTTTGCTATACACATGTTTATTCCCTTTGTGTGTATTGGGACAAAATAAAAAAGGGAGGAAAGAAAGCAAATTCGACATAATGTCACACAAACCCCAAAAATGGGCTGGACAAAAGTATTGGCACCCTTTCACAACTGCGGATAAATAAGAATGTTTGCACAGCCTGTGATGCTCCTGTAAACTCACGCTGGGGCAAGTAACAGGTGTGGCAATTCTAGAAATCACACCTGAAAGCAGATAAAAAGGAGAGACGTTCACTTAACCTTTGCATTGTGTGTCTGTCTGTGCCACACTCTTATGGACAACAGAAAGAGGAGACGAGCACTGTCTGAGGACCTGAGAACCAAAATGTGGCAAATATCAGATCTGGGCATTGCTGGTTAGAACTCTCCAGGGCTGGCCACAAGTCCATCTCCAGAGAACTAGACGTATTTTGGGGTCTTGTCCTGCGCAACATTATCAAGAAGTTTGCAACCAAACCACTGTAGCTAATCTCCCTGGTCGTGGACCCTGAGGAAAATTGATGAAAGATTGCAACGCAGAATAGTCCTTGGTGGTAATCAGCCCAAACATTTCCAAAGATGCCTTCAAGCTGTCACAGTCAGGGAGGCATCAGTGTCAGCGCGAAAACTATCCGTCGACAAAATGAAATGAAACGCTATGGCAGGAGACCCAGTAGGACCCCACTGCTGACACAGAGACATAAAAAAGCAAGACTACAGTTTGCCAAAATGTACTTGAGTAAGCCAAAAGCTCTTCTTGGTCGTCTTGTGGACAGATGAGACCAAGATAGAGCTTTTCGGTTAAAGCACATTTTCTAGTCTTGCTTTTTTATGTCTCGAAAACGGAATGAGGCCTACAAAGAACAAAACACAGTACCTACGGTAAAATATGGTGGAGGTTCAATGATGTTTTGGGGTTGTTTTGCTGCCTCTGGCACTGGGTGCCTTGACTGTGTGCAAGGCATCATGAAATCTGAGGATTACCAAAGGATTTTGGGTCGCACTGTAGGGCCCAGTGTCACGAAAGCTGGAGTTTGCGTCCAAGATCCATGGGTCTTCCTTCAGGACAATGACCCCAAACATACGTGGAAAAAGCAAATCAGAAATGGAGATGGCAAAGTAACCTGGAGAGTGTTGAAGTGGCCAGCAATTTTGAGTTCTCAGATCTAAATCCCATTGAACACCTGTTTCTTAAAATTGCTGTTAAAAGTGTGGCACCAATAAGAGAGACACACAATTTGCAAAGGAAGAGTGAAAATCTCCCTTTGAGATCTGTCAGAAGCTTATTGATGGTTATATTGCCCACGACCTGATTTTGCCCCAGTTATGTTTTCCAAAGGGCATCACATGCAACATTCAAATTATCCGCAGTTGTGAAGGGTGCCAATACTTTTGTCCAGCCCATTTTTGGGGTTTTGTGTGACATTATGTCGATATTTGCTTTTCTTTCCTCTGTTTTTTATTTGTCCCAATACATACAAAGGGAATAAACATGTGTATAGCAAAACATGTGTTAATGCAATACCTTTTTTGTGTGAAATACTTGATTTTCTGGAAAAATATCAAGGGTGCCAACAATTTCGGCCATGACTGTATATATATATATATATATATACACACACACACAGTTAGACACAGACACAGGCACAATTTTCATACTTTTGGCTCTGTATGCCACCAGAATAAATTAAAATAAGAAAATCCAAATGAATGTCAAGTGCAGACTTTCAGCTTTAATTCAAGGGGTTGAATATAATTATCAAGTACAAATTTTAGGAACTGCAACCATTTTTATACACAGTCCCTCCATTTTCAGGGGCTCAAATGTAATTGGACAAATTAATATAATCATAAATAAAATGTTCATTTTTAATATTTTGTTGCCTTTACTGGCAATGACTGCCTGAAGTCTGGAACCCATGGACATTACCAAAGACTCGGTTGCTTCCTTTCTGATGCTTTACCAGGCTCTAACAGTGTCTTCAGTTGTTCTTTGTGGGTCTTTCTGCCTTTAGTTTTGCCTTCAGCAAGTGAAATGCATGCTCAATTGGGTTGAGATCAGGTGATTGACTTGGCCATGGCAGAATATTCCACTTCTTTTCCTTCAAAAGCTCCTGGGTTGCTTTTGCAGTGTGTTTTGGATCATTGTCCATCTGTACTGTGAAGCGCCGTCCAATCAACTTTGCTGCATTTGGCTGAATCTGGCCTGACATTATCTCTAAACACTGCAGAATTCCTCCAGCTGCTTCTGTCTTCTGTCACATGATCAATAAACACCAATGACCCAGTGTCACTGGAAGCCATGCATGCCCATGCCATCACACTGCCTCCACCATGTTTTACAGATGACATTGTGTGCTTTGGTTTATGAGCTATTCCAAGCCTTCTCCACACTTTTTTCTTCCTGTCATTCTGGTACAGATTAATCTTCATTTCATCTGTCCAAAGAATGCTTTTCCAGAACTGGTCTGACCTTTTTAGATGTTTTTGGCAAAGTCTAATCTGATTTTTCTATTCTTCACTTATGAATGGTTTGCACCTTGTGGTGAACTCTCTGTATTTGCTCTTGTGAAGTCTTCTCTTGATTGTAGACTTTGACAATTATACGCCCACCTCCTGGTGAGTGTCTGGATGTTGTAAATGGGTTTTTCTTTACCATAGAGAGGATCCTGCGATCATCCACCACTGTTGTCTACTGTGGACGTCCATGCCTTTTTTATGTTGCTTACCAGTGCGTTCTTCTTTCTTCAGAATGTACCAAACTGTTGATTTGGCCACTCCTAATGTTGCTGCTATCTCTCTGATGGATTTGTTTCATTTTTGAAGCCTTACATTGGCCTGTTTCACTTACATGGACAGCTCCTTTGAATGCATGATGTAGGTTCAACACATTAGATTCCAAATGCAAATACCACACTTAGAATCAACTCCAGACCTTTTACCTGCTTAATTGATGAAGAAATAATGAAGGAGTAGTCCACACTTGGCCATCAAACAGCTTTTGATTTAATTGTCCAATTACTTTTTGTCCCTTGAAAAATGGGGGGTGGCTACTCTTAAGAGCTGTAATTCATAAACTCTTCCTCCAGTTTGGATGTACATACCCTCAAATTAAACCTGAGAGCGTGCACTTTCAGACCATATCCATTATATAACTATAGGTTGAATATGTTTTGTTAAATACCTGAAAAAAAATCTAAAATTGTGCCTGTGTCCAAATATATATGGACCTAAGTGTGTGTGTGTGTGTGTTCCAGAGGCTGAGAAAACAAAATATGGGTAGTATTACAGGTAGCAGCAACTGGACCCCCAAAAATATGAAAGTTATTGTTTATTCATATTTCAAGCATACAGTATTTTCAAATATTACTACAGCGTAAAGCTGAATCTGGATGTTTTAATTGAAGATTTTTTGGATTCTAGGATTATGCTGAGAAAATTCCATCATTTTATTAGTTGGAAAGGCTACATTGGTTGAGTGGTGGCTGTCAATATATTAGCCAATGGGGAGATGCCTTCATCCATGCTGTTTAGTGCAGGAGGAATCTATCTGATTTCTGAGGGCTGATCGAGAGAAATGTATGCATGTACTGTATGGTTACCTATGGATAGTGGATAATGCCTTCTCCCTGTCTGAGCTTCTACCTGGTTTCCCAACTTACTCTATCACCTGCTCTGATCTCTGTTCTTACTCCACTGCAGTTCATCTGATATGGCACTTTGCCTAACCATCTGTTTAACCATCATATGTTACCAATGGGATAAACCAAGGGCTACAAACTGGGAGCTGACAGCCTAACCTACCTTGTCTTTGAAGAAGACAAGAGCAGTGACTGGGCATTGCTTATATTCTGCACCTCTGCATGAATTCACATCTACCACCTGGTAAAACCAATACACTCTTATAGATTGTTTTCTTTTCAATTTTTTTTTTGTGAACAGTGAATGAAGAGAGGAGAATTTTCAATTTATTGAAAATGAAAAAAAAAAATAATAATTTTTACTTTACTAACAGGTAAGGCACCTAAAATTACCATTTACCAGGGCAGGTAGTAGAAACTTTATCCTGCCACTTTTTGAAACTCTAATTTGGCCACATCTGCAGTATGTCATCCAGTTCTGGTCACCAGTCCTCAAGAAGAATGTGCTGGAAGAGAAAAGCAACAATACTAATAAGGGGACTGGAGGACCTCCGTTACAAGGAACGACTACAAACATTAAATTTATTCTCCCTGGAGAAGAGACATGTGAGAGGAGATATGATAGTGTTATACAAATATCGTAATGATTCTTGTATAGGGAATAACTATTCAGTCTTAGGGAGTATAAGAAGATATCACTGAAATTGGAGAAGCAGTTTTACCTTAAACTGTGTAGGAGGTTTTTCACTGTCAGAGCAGTAAGGATGTGGAACTCACTTCCACAATCGTTGGTGTCGGTGGGAAATATTGATACCTTCAAAAAAAAAAAAAAAAAACTCTTGGATGGGCATCTCAGTGA